TTTTTTCAGATCACAATGGATTAAAATTAGAAATCAATAACAAACAAAATTGTGAAAACTATACAAACACATGAAAATTAAACAGCATTCTACTTAATGACATATGGGTCCAAGAAGAAATCATGAAAATTAAACAGCATTCTACTTAATGACATATGGGTCCAAGAAGAAATTAAACATGAAATCAAAAAAATTATCGAAACTAATGAAAACAGTGACACATTATACCAAAACCTGTGGGATACTGCAAAAGCAGTACTAAGGGGGAAATTTATCACATTAAATGCTTACTTCAGAAGAATGGAAAGATGGCAAGTAAACAACCTCTAACTTCACCTTAAAGAACTAGAAAAACAAGAACAATCCAAATCCAAAGTTAGCAGACAGAAAGAAATCATTAAGATCAGAGCAGAACTTAATGAAATTGAAACCCAAAAACATGATACAAAAGATCAATGAATCAAAAGTTGGTTTTTCAAAAAGATAAATAAAAGTGACAAACCATTAGCACAGCTAACTACAAAAAGAAGAGAGAAGGCCCAAATAATAAAAATTAGAAATGAAAAAGATGATATTAAAACTGATACTCCAGAAATACAAGAAATCATTAGTGATTACTATAAACAACTATATGCCAACAAATTTGAAAATCTGGAGGAAATGGGTAAATTTCTGGACACTCACAACTACCAAAACTGAGACAAGAAGATGTAGAAAATCTGAACAGACCAATAACAACAAAAGAGATTGAAGCTGTTATCAGAAGGTTCCCAGTAAAGAAAAGCCCAGGACCAGATGGGTTCACTGCAGAATTCTATCAAACCTTCAAACAGGAATTGATACCAATTCTCTACAAACTATTCCAAAAGACTGAAACAGAGGCAATTCTCCCAAACTCATTCTATGAAGCAAACATCACCCTGATACCAAAACCAGACAAAGAGACAACTAAAATAGAAAAATACAGGCCAATATCCTTGATGAATATAGATACAAAAATCCTCAATAAAATATTAGCAAACAGAATACAGCAACACATATGCAAAATTATACACCACGATCAAGTGGAATTCATCCCAGGGATGCAAGGTTGGTTCAACATACACAAATCAATAAATGTGATACACCATATTAATAAAATCAAAGACAAGGAACATATGGTCATCTCTATAGATGCTGAAAAGGAATTTGATAAAATTCAACATTCATTCATGATGAAGACCCTCTATAAGTTAGGTATAGATGGAAATTATCTGAACATAATTAAAGCCATATATGATAAACCCACTGCCAATATCATCCTGAATGGGAAAAGCTGAAAGCTTTTCCTTTAAGAACAGGAACTAGACAAGGATGCCCACTCTCACCACTCCTATTCAACATAGTGTTGGAAGTACTAGTCAGAGCAATCAGAGAAGAGAAGGAAATAAAGGGCATCCAGATTGGAAAAGATGAAGCCAAACTGTTCCTCTTTGCAGATGACATGATCCTATATATCGAACAGCCTAAAGCCTCTCCAAAAATCTCTTGGAGTTGATAAATGATTTCAGCACAGTAACAGGATACAAAATCAACACACAAAAATCAGTAGCATTTCTATTCTCCAATAGTGAACATGCAGAAAGAGAAATCAAGAAAGCCTGCCCATTTACAATAGCCACCAAAAACATAAAATACTTAGGAATTGAGTTAACCAAGGTTGTGAAAAATCTCTATAATGAGAACTACAAACCACGGCTGAGAGAAATTAAGAGGACACAAGAAATGGAAAGATATCCCATGCTCTTGGATTGGAAGAATCAACATTGTGAAAATGTCCATACTACCCAAAGTGATATACAAATTCAATGCAATCCCCATCAAAATTCAAGTGACATATTTCTCAGAAATGGAAAAAACTATTCAGACATTTACATGGAATAACAAAAGACCATGCATAGCCAAAGCAATGCTGAGCAAATAAGATAAAGCTGGAGGCGTAACACTACCTGACTTTAAACTATACTACAAAGCTATGATAACCAAAACAGCATGGTTCTGGCATAAAAACAGACACACTGATCAATGCAATATAACAGAGAATCCAGAAATCAACCCACACACCTATAGCCATCCGATCTTTGACAAAGGTGCCAAGCCAATACGCTGGGGAAGAGACTGCCTCTTCAGCAAATTGTGCTGGGATAACTGGATATCCATATGCAGGAGAATGAAACTAGACCCATACCTCTCACCATATACTAAAATCAACTCAAAATGGATTAAAGAATTAAATATACACCCTGAAACAATAAAACTTCTTTAATAAAATATAGAGAATACACTCCAGGAAGTAGGACTGGGCACAGACTTCATGAATATCACCCCAAAAGCATGGTCAACCAAAGGAAAAATAAGCAAATGGGATTATATCAAACTAAAAAGCTTCTGCACAGCAAAAGAAACAATTAACAGAGTTAAAAGACAACCAACAGAGTGGGAGAAAATATTTGCCAAATATACATCTGACAAAGGATTAATATCCAGAATATACAAGGAACTCAAATAACTTTATGCCAAAAAAAAAACAAGTAACCCAATTAAAAAATGGCAAAGGAAATGAATAGGCATTTCTCAAAGGAAGATATACAAATGGCCAACAGACACATGAAAAAATGCTCAACATCACTCAGCATCTGGGAAATGCAAATCGAAACCACACTGAGATACCATCTCACTCCAGTTAGGATGGCTAATATCCAAGACTGTGATAGACAAATGTTGGTGAGATTGTGGAGAAAAAGGAATTCTCATACACTGTTGGTGGTACTGCAAAATGGTGCAGACTTTATGGAAAATGGTATGGAGGTTCCTCAAACAATTGCAGATAGATCTACCATATGACTCAGCTATCCCACTTCTGGCTATATATCCAGAGGAATGGAAATCATCAAGTTGAAGGGATACCTGTACTCCAGTGTTCACTGCAGCACTATTTACAATAGCCAAGAGTTGTAACCAGCCCAAATATCCATCATGAGATGAGTGGATACAGAAATGTGGTATATCTACACGATGGAATACTACTCAGCTATAAAAAAGAATGAAATACTGCCATTTGCAACAACATAGATGGGCCTAGAGAGAATTATATTAAGTGAAACAAGTCAGGCACAGAAAGAGAAATATCACATATTCTCACTTATTTGTGGGACCTAAAAATAAATAAATAAATACACAAACAAATGGGAAGGGGAGGGAAGAAGTCACAACAATCACAATTCCTTGAAGTTATTATGACAAGCAAACAGATATGAAGTTGATGGGGGCGGGGAAGAAGGGGGAAGGGAGGATTTGGTAATGGGACACAAAAATCAACCATATTGTATATTGATAAAATAAAATTAAATAAATAAATAATAAAATAAAATACTACTAAGGCCAAAAAAAAAAAATGTATCTTCCTTGAGCTTTTAATAATAGTCTCTATGACTAAAGACTTTGCATACATCATGTCTTGTCTGGGAGTATGTTTCTCATATTAAATTGAGAAATATGTACATAAATATAGTTTAGATAACCTGATATTTTGTCTAATAGCTTGAGTCCATTTATAATGGTCAATTAGCTTAATTAAAACTCCATACTTTCCAAAATAAGAAATCCATCATTTTTTAGACAACTAAAGATATCAAAGCATGACTGACTGTAGAAAGGTGTCCCATTTTACTCCAAGCACTGTGTACGACATTTTGCAAAATTTCTAATTCTAATTTGAGATCCTCACCAAACCACAAGACTTCTTCAAGGCTGGTTTTTACCTATTATCTCCACAGCAGTCTTGAGGCTCTTTGCCACCACTCTTGCGACTCATTTTATTCTCTTCCCAATTACATTCCTCTAACAGTACAAAGCCCTGTTCCAGGCGAGAGAAGAACAAAACAAACGATTGGTCACTTCTCCGATTTTAGCATAGTAATCATCAGGGTTAGTGCTCAGGATGAAAGAAAATTAAGTATACTACTTCCTTCTTATGCAGGTACTTTTCACATTTATTTGTATTTGTACTGTTATTTATTATTCCTATATGAATTGGGAAACTGGGACAAGTAGGAAATAACAACATGTAATTAAAGCTACAGGGAAACTCCTAAACTCTTCTTAAACATACTCCCCCAAAGGAAGATGTAAGATTAATTTAAACTTTCATTTTATATCCTGGAAAGAGGACTAACCTAACAAACCAGGACAACAAGGGGGAAATGAAATGATCCTCAACTTTTTTTTAATGTACTTATCTTCTTTATTATTCTTAGAAGAACTCGGGGTTCTGGGAGAGTCTAACTAAAGAATGACATTGAGGGAACATTACCTTGTGTGACTATGTTTTCAACATAGACGGCTAGAGAACACCAGAAGTGCACTTCAGAAGGAAGATATCTAACTAACAAATGACAAAAAAGAAACCAAACAGTGGTTAGAGCTGAAGGAGGTGATAGTTGTATCCCATCAAAGAACAGCAGCAGCCACCACACCCTTAGGCTTCTTCAAATCAGATAGAAAGGGGCAGACTTTCTACAATGTATTGATGAAGAACACAAAATGAATCTCTAGTCAAAGGTAAAAGAAAATGAGAGGAGCTGGACATGAGGAGTCTACATTTGACTGTCTACTCAGGAGACACTACCCAAAGTGAAATTATATGGTTCCATCCTCAGAGAAGTCAGGGAAAGTTAAGCCAACTGAATACATGAGTGAAATACACATGAATTTGGGAACCACGCAGCTCCTGAGTCAATCTCACTTCAGCCTAATGAGAAGGAAGGAGAAAGTAATCCCACAGCTGCGTACAGAGTGAAAAGCCTCACAGTTGCTTTGCTTTTACTTCCTCTTTAGGCTCAAGGATGTCAGCATAAAAGCCGCTCACTATCTCTTCAACAGACAAGAACTCAACTAACAGAAACAATGACGTACAGAGAAAACTATATAACTAAGCACAAAAGAAAGCTGTAGCAACTCACTACAGGCTTTGGTGAGGCTGCGCATTGTTTTTGTCCAGACAGACCCCTCAGCAGGCCAGGTCTCACAGCCTCAGCATCGTCTCCTGCCTCAGCTTGGTGGTTGTCCTTTCTTCTGGGAGGCTTCCGCTTCCTAGACCTTGAGAAGGTCTGGCAGACACAGCTGAAGAAGCGACCAAAGCAAAGGGGTGGTGATGCCCAGGATGCCGCTGCAGGAGAAGAGGGTCCAGACCCCAGGACCACTGAGAGCTCACAGGGCTGGATCTGATATTCCTGATGTGTCACGCAGGCACCCTCATCCTGTTGGCTCTGTAATCTGTCCTGCAAGTAGAAGAAAAAGTTAAAAGCCCACAAAGCCAACACCCATGTACAAAAAAGACACGACCTTCTGAGCAAGTCCGTTCACACTCTCTCTGGGTCCAAAGATTCCAGTTTGTTTCTCAAGCTCCTTACTCCCAACCCCTCCCACTCCATGAGAAGAGCAGTCATTATTTTTCCTATGGGAGAGGGACAAGCCCAGAATTTCAACACCTCACGCCTCATCCCTACCTCACTGGGAAGGTCTGGACCATCTTCCTGGGTACTAAGTAGGGTTGGCTTCTTATTTATACTCTTATCTTCGTTTTGTGGTGGTGCTGAAGGTGTTAGAAGAATGGGGGGGGGGGGCATTGGGCCTCCATGTGCTCCTCCTTCTTGCTCTTTCTCATTCTCTTTGTCCTTAAACCCTTCCTAAGATGCCTGTGCTGCTTTGGGAGTGGGTCTAGCTTTCTCCTCTGGACTGAAGGCACGGCAGGATCTTGTAAAACCTGACTCTCAGGTATTCCCTTCAATGGCTTTGATGATGATTCCAAACTTCTCTTCAGAGGGTCATTTTCCCATAGGTGCAATCTATACTCTGTATCTTGAATATTTGGTGATAAGTTCGAGTCATTAGTGATGTTTGGGGACAGAGATAGGAGATTCCCAGCATCTGTCAT